GTTAGACAGATTTTAATGAAACTCTCAGAAACTAATCCTTGGATTAACGTCTACAACTGATTAACTTCTGGAGCAAGCCTCCTTCAAGATGGCCGCAACAGCTAATCAATCTTAGCAAACACAGAAATAGCTTCGACTCATTCAATTTTAAAGATGCTGAATTAGATTTTGGTGTGGTAGTAGCTGAGAGTTATTYCCAATTGGCAGACTGCACAAGGTCTCATGCTTTTGTTTAAGARCAAACATAAATGTTATTCTAGATTGGACCGAAACGACTGAAATGGCAACATATCCAAACCTAAAATTCATTGAATTATGGTCATCTGAAAACTGCAACAGCTGTTGGAAAAATAAAATCAGAAATCAAAGCTATATTTTTAAAGCTGTAAAGAAACTGTTATTCTTTCTCTGTGGCTCGTCCAGCTGAGCGGGACATCAGCATCTACTGTGGGGTCCAAACCATCACCCTGAAGATCAACTTCTGTCCGGTGCTGTACTCCGGTTACACCGCCTCAGACCTGGCTCTGAACGGCCAACACAGCGACCCTCAGTGCCGAGGCTTCATCAACAACAACACCTTCCCCACGGCGGTGCTGTTCAGCATCAGCCTCAGCACCMTGGAGGCCTGCGGTACCAGCCTGGTGGTAAACAGCACCAGAACCAACACAGTCCTGTTGTTTTATGGAGAAAAGCTGAAATGTTTCTGTGTCCAGGTCAGCACGGCGCACGGGATCAACGCTTACGGGAACATGTCTCTGGTTCAAATCGGGAACATCTCGGGCTACATCGACACCCCCGACCCRCTGACGGTCATCAGCTACCTGCCCGGTTTGTTGTATAAATTCAGCTGCAGCTACCCGCTGGAGTACCTCGTCAACAACTCACAGCTGGCTTCGTAAGTTGAGCCAAAAACATCAAAACAAAAAAATTAAACTGATGGAATTTAATTTAGAAATTATGTCAATTGTTTCCACTCAACTGAAATGAGTAAAAGTAAAACATTTACTTTACGTTGAATTTAAGTTATGTAAGTTAAACGTAAAGTATTGTGTTATCTTTACTCGATTCAGCTGAGTGAAAACAGTTTGCTTTTTTAAAATTAAATCCAATACATCTGTTTTTGAGTGTATTTTTGGTTTTCTTATACAGTTTTATTAGCTACTGCTCTGCTAGTTTTAGCTTTTAGCCAATCGTTTGTTTCTTTAAATTTCAGCTAGTTTTTGGGATTTTTACATTTTAGCTATGATGCTGTTAGTCTTAACTTTTAGTTAGCCTGTGGCACTTGTAGCCTTTAGCTGTTTTTGCAACTTTTACATTTATTTTAGGTACTGTTTTGTTATGTTTATCATTTAGCCTGGTTTTAGTTACATTTAGCTTCTGCTAGCCTTTTGACACTTAAACCTTTGAAACTTTTAGCTTTGTCAAGTTAGGCTTTCAGCTCACGTTTTCCTAGTTTTTGCTACAATTTTGTAACATTTAAATAGCCTTTTTCTCATTTTTTCCAACCTGTTGTTTGTAATTAGTATTTTTCCTGCTTGTAGTCTACAATTTTGCTATTTTGAGCTAGCCTCTACACTGTAAAAATGAAATGTTGGATTTAATTAACCATGTTATGTGACCTGGTTCCACTTAACTGAGTTGAGTAAATTCAAAGCAACATTCTCATGTTCTTTGGTTAGAACATGAGCATGTTGCTTTGAATTTATTCAACTCAGTTAAGTGGAACCAGGTCACATAACATGGTTAAGTAAATCCAACATTTCATTTTTAGAGCGTAGCTTTTTTCAGCTAGTGCTCTGCTCCTTTTTTGCTAATGTTCTGTATCTTTTAGCCTTAATATTTTCAGCTAACGTTACCACACAGTAAATTTTGCAGTGTTAAATCAACACTTAAACTGTTAAATTCAACACTGTGTCCGAGTCTATTTGGTCCTTATCCGAATTGGTGTCAGTTTAACTCTTTCCATAGTGTTACATTTTCAGGGTACAATTGAACTCTAAACAGAGTTTAAAAATTAACACTGATTAACACTGTACAGTGTTAATAAAACTTAACACTTCAAGTCAAATAACTCTGATGAGAGTAAATATGATTCTAAGCAGAGTTAATAAGGTACTCCACTGTGATGACAAATCAACTCTGATTCTCATGCTTTTCAACACTGCATTGAGTTATTGATGGTTAACACTGGAGGTTCATATAACTCCTATGAGTGTTAATTTGACACTCTACTCTTTTGATTATTTACTCTTTTGCTGTGTAGAGGGGTGTAAAACAGACACTATGAGGTGTCATTACACAGTAAATTTGAAAGTATAAGTTTAACACTTTAGAGTTAAGATCACACACCAGGAAGTACCTCTCACTCTACACCTCATGGTGTCGATTTATGGCCAATAACACAAACTTAAACTTGTACAACTGATAAACCTGCACAAAACAACTAGAACAACTAATTTTTACTCTCATGAACTTCTTTAATAGTCATAAACATACAAACACATCATTTCTATAGGATTACCCAGCATTCCTTGCTGTGAAAATACTGGTCTGTCTGACATGAGGTGGAAGAGGGTGGGGCTTTACAGAATACTTTTTTCAACACTGCATGGTGTTATATAACAACACTTTTAAGTGTTATGTAAGACTCAACAGTGGGTGGAGCCTATTTAGCACTGTTCAGTGTTGAGACAACACTGAGGAAATCAACACTGTGAATTAACACCACTGTAGGGTGAGTTAAATTGACTGAAAAGTTTAACACTGACATTTTAACACTCTGGTTTTTACTGTGCAGTCATGTATTCCTCACACATGCTGCATTTTCCGAAAAATATATTTACTCTAGTTTAATTTATACTTTTTTTGAAACTTCAAAAACAGCTTAAACCTGCTTATTAAGCTTGAAAAGGTTTGTGGCATTTTTGGGAGCAATTTAAACAGATTAAAGYTGACAGTTAATAAATCAAGCATTTTAGTCAAGGTCAAGAGGTTTTTTCTTTTTTCTTTTAGCAGAATCGCTGCTTTGAAGTTCCTTTTAAAAATACGTTCCACTTCTTTTACATCTTTGTTCCCAGCTCCTCTGCGGCTGTATCCGTCAAGGACAACAACGGCACATTTGTCAGCACTCTGAGTATGATTCTGTACAACGTGAGTCAGATAAATTAACATTTCAGCTCTGAAGAAACGGCTYAGAAAAGCTGAGTTTGACACATTTCATCTTGATGGCTGTCTTTGTAACAAGTCTGTGAAAAGTCATTATTATCTTGTAAAACCAGTCACAAACTGGCAACTGGTTATTTTTATGCTACATGACCTTACAACAGAAGCTACAAATATGTATTTTCTTAATTAGTGACAAGAACAGGTTAATGTCCAAAACAGCCTTAACAATGTCTCCCAAGCAGGAGAAAAACTGCAAAACTAGAGACCATTACAGATTTTTTAATCGAACAATAAGCCTATGTTTACAAACTTTATCTTTTAAGCCAATAATGTTGTTTTATTTTTTCCTGCAGGATTCAACATACAGCTATCCTCTGTCGATCCCCACAACTGGACTCGCTCTGAAAACTAGAGTATTTGCTGCCGTGAAAGCAACAAACTTAGACAAACGGTACCAAATACTTTCCTATATTCACATTTTATTTTTTCATAACTTTTATTTAGCAGGACTTATCATTAGCAGCAGCTAGCATTAGCAACAACTAGCTGCTTTTGTATATTTGTGCATGTGTTTGTTAGCAAAAAATCTTGTAATCATTGGATGTATTGTATCTGCTAGACTTAGCAGCAAACTTTAGCATTTACAGTGCACTTCCTGCATGATTAATATATTTCTTCTAGGATATCGATGTGATGTAAAATCAGTGGAGATTTACAGATTCATAAAATGTAATTTGTTTTTAAATGAAAGAAATTGTCACAGCTGATATATTAGCTTTTCAGTTGAGTCACAACTAATCTATATTTTTATAAAATGAGGTTATCTGCAACAGGTAAGATAATAATGTTCATAACTTTTCAACAGACCCCACCTCACAAGAACTGAACCATCTCTTTAAGAAATATTTAAAGCAGTTATTAGAGCAACCACTTCAAATCAATGAGGAATAGATGAGATTTCTGATAAGATCCTCCGCTGCGCCTTTTTCCCACCATCATCTTTTGCAGATGTAGCCTTATTTTCTACGCTTAGCCGACTTTCATTATGCCATTATGGTATTATTGGACTYGAAGGCGCCAGTCTGCAGCAAAGAAAGCCCAAACCTGTGCTTTCCCATGTGCAGTTAGATCTTTATCCCATCTCACAGCTCTGTCCCTTTTTGCAGATGGAATATCTTGATGGACTACTGTTACACAACCCCCTCAGGGAATCCTAATGATGAACTCCGCTACGATCTGTTCTTTGGGTAATCTTGCTTCTTTTTTTTTTTGTCGTTCAAGAAGATGACTTGATAAATCACAAAAGAGGAGTCATTACCTTTTCATGCCCTCAGCATGCCTTATACTCATAAGTGCCACTTATGTCTGTCCTCTGACGGCTTAAGCGCACATCTAGACATCCCGTGTGTCATTTTTCAGCGTGTACGTGTGTGAAAGTGTGTTGCTTTTCAAACAGCTGCTACAAAGACCCCCAGACGACGGTTTTTGAAAACGGGAAGAGYCAGCTGGGTCGTTTTTCCTTCGAGGTCTTCCGATTCGTGAAACACAGACACCAGAAGATGTCCACYGTGTTTTTGCACTGCGTCACCAAACTTTGCCGGGCAGACGACTGCATCATGCTCATTCCAGTAAGAGTAAAACAATAAAAAAAAAATTAAATTCTCTGTGAGGAGCACATTGCCTCAAACAGACGAAATATAATGCTGTGATCGGCAGATCTGTGGGCGACGACGCAAGAGGGATGGAGTCCAGGACCTCCATCCACCACCAGCAGCCTCTGGGAGCGCCGTTATCTCTGCCGGTCCCATCATCACCAGGAGTGGTAGGAACAACAACAACAAAAATCCTTAGAGCAGGGCTGTCAARCTCATTTTCACAGAGGGCCACGTGAGCGTCGTGGTGGCCCTCAAAGGAACAGCTATGATTAACTTTGCTCCCTGTTTAACTTTGACTAAACATCAAGTTCCATCATCTCATTGCATTGCTGACAAGAAAAAACTGAGTTCTTCGTGGTATTTCCTGCATAGAAACAGTGTTTTAACATTTACTCTTATAAACCCTAAAAAGTAAGRATGACTAAGTGAAACAAATGACAGGAAATTTCCATTGGAGGGGCATTTAAATTTACAACTTGTAAGTGGTAAATTCCCACGTCTCAGAGCAACTGGGCTGCAGCAAAAGTAGTTGGGAAATGTAGAATTTACCAGAGGTCTATAATGTACTTGCAAAAAAATAACTAAGTCAAAGTAACATATGACCAGAAAAGGACTTTGAGAAAACTACTTAAGTAAAAGTAATAAAACTGTTCACAAAAATTGGGAAAGTAAAAGTAAAAGTACTTTTACACAC